TGCAGCCCCCCTGTTCGAGGCAGGCTCCCTCCCTCCTGCATCTGTGGGGGAATCACACCCCAGCGAAGCAGGATCTGGGCGTTGACCCCAGCCCTGAACCCTCCCCGGGCTCTCCGCCACTGCCCCCACCCTGTCCCCATCCCACACCTCTCCCAGAGGAGCCGGCAGTCTCCAAGGAGCCAGGGGTGGCCTAAGCCGAACCTGGTGCCACACGGCCAGGGGATGCCTCAGCACCTGGGGTGCCCTGGCATGGCTTCGCCCCCGCCATGCCGCAGGCTGCTGCTTTCACCCCTCCTGCCTGCACTGAAGGGGGGGCAGGATGAGGCCAGCCCCATTGGGCAACTGCTGGTGCTGGAGTGAAGCTTGTTGTGGGGCTGGAAGGAGCCCTGGGAGTCAGCTTGGGGCAGGGGACGGGCACAAGAGAGGTTTGGTTGGGTTGTACTTCAGGATAGTGGGGTTGATGGGGAGGGGTGCCCCCCCCACCTTCCCTGGGGCCGGATCCAGCACCAGCAACTCCTCAGCCTCAGCTCCCAGCCCATCTGCCGCAAGGCAGGTACCAGCACCCCAGGGACCGGCACGCACCCACCCACACTCCCCTGAAACATGGCTTCAGCCGTGGTGGCGCCTGGCCCCGCACCGGGCTGCTCCCAGGGCTGAATCCTGCCCTGGGCCAGTGGGTTCCAGCACAACCCGCCCATGCTGGCTGGGTGTTTGTGTTGCCTGCCGCCGTGTTTGCACTGCATACAACCCGGCTGTTTGTTTGCACGGAGCCTGGGGAGCCAAGCCTGGTGACAGCGGTGGCGGGCATGCCGCAGGCAGAGCAAGCACGGGGTGCTGCTCTCCGCCAGCAGCACCGTGGCTGGGCTGGCAGGGCAGAGCAAGCATGGGGTGCTGCTCTCCGCCAGCAGCACCGTGCTGGCCATGCCGTCTCCCCATGCCCGGCAGGGTGATGCGGCTGTGCCTGCGTCCTTCCTCCTCGCACACACTGCAACATCCGCTCGCCTGCCGCAGCCCACGTGGACGCCCTCCACATGCCGGGATGGCCTCAGCCCTGACGCGCTCCTGGCCCTTTCCGTGAGCCCCGCCGCCGGCAGCCCCCTCTTGCCCCACTCTGGATTTCCTCAGCAGTGACACATCCTTCCCCAGCGCATGTCCCCACATCCCCTTTCCTGGGAAGAGCTGCCACGGGGCTCTGCCACCCCTCCTGCCGTGGGCACAGGTACCCTGGCGCAGGCACAGATGCTGCCACTGGCTATCCGGGGTTGGCCTTGCCGTCCCCTCGCCAAAGCCTTGCAGGGTGCGGGAGGGCTTGCGGGCACGCTGCTCCCCCGAGAGCACCAGTGCAGCTTTGTTCACGTGGGTCACTAGAAGAAGGCAGGGGGGTCCCCTGGTCTCTGGCCCAGGTGGGCGGCTGGGGGTGGCAGGAGCTGGCCACGCTGGGACCTGTGGGGCTGGCCCCGGTGTTTTGAGATCGTTGTTTTGGGCTCAGCTCCCGTGTATTGGTTTGTGGCCAGTTTAAACTGGTTCGCAGCTTTTATAAGGTGTGGGATGAGTGGGATCCTGCGAGTGCCAGCAGCTCCGGAGGGGAGCCCCTGGTGGGGGGTGGTGCTGGTGGTGGTGGCCATGTGAGCCCACATGCCCACGGTGGCCAGCGCGGCTCTCCGGGAGGCAGACACCCGCTCACAGCCCAGACCAGAGGGGAGCAACTCCGAAGCTCCCTACCAGGCTTTCAGCTGCAGCATCTTCCCCTCCAGCATGGCCCCAGCGGCCGAGCGAGCCAGTGCCGCCCTGCAGCGGAAGGAGTGGGGGGACACCACCTGCCCACTGCTCTTCATCCAGCTCAACCAGCTCCTCAGCACCCCAGCGGGGCTGGAGTGGAGAGAGACGGCCAGGTAGGCATGCCTGCAGTGGCCAAGCTCCCTGGCGACACTTTGGGAAGCCCAGCCTTCGAAAGCCCAGCTCTGATGGAGCCCACGACATCTCCCAAGGCTGGTGGTTCCTCAACCTCAGCCCCAAAGCAGGGCTGCTCACTGCCCTCTGCCCCTGCCAGTGCCTGCGCTGCTTCTGCCCGGCTTAGGGTGACTCGCTTCATGGGAGAGGGCATGGTGTCAGGCAGGGCGCAGGCAGTGACCCTGCACGGGCACAGTGCCCTTGCTCCTGCTCCTGCCTTTGCTGCCTCTCCAAGGCTCCAGTGGCTGTGCCAGGGCTGGGACGGTGCTTTGATGCTCCCCAGATCCAGCTGCCCAGCACGTCTCAGGAGGCGACAGGGGGGTGTAGGTCAGGGCAGGCTTGGCTGCGGATGATGGGGCCCAACGGAGAAGAGCCGGGGCCAGCTGGGTGCTGGTGTGGGGCAGGAGCATGGCTGCGATGTCCCCACACCCCACACTGCCCCTCCACAGCTCGGCAGGGGCACAGGGACATGGGCCACGGGGGTCTGGGGGCAGTGGTGGGTCTGTCCCAGGGGTCGGAGAGTCTGGGGGGGGGGGGGGGGAAAGCCCCGGC